TTTTAAGTGTAAATGGAATCATGTTAAGTCACACTGTTGTGAAACAGATCTCCAGAGCTCTTTCCGTCTTGCCAGTCTGAAATTCTCGACCCTTTAAATACTAACTTCTCATTCCCCCGTCCCCTGGTCCCTGGCAACCGCCACTCGACTCTCTGTTTCTGAGTTTGACTGCTTTAGGGACCTCCTATAAATAGAATCATATAATACTTGTTCTTTCATGTCTGGCTTATTGCACTTAGCATAATGTCCTCAAGGTTCATCCATGTTACACGAGTGTCAGAATTTCCTTCCTTTCTGAGGCTGAATATGATTCCATTGTATGTATTTCCCACATTTGATTTATCCATCCATCCTTCCATCAGCATTTGGGTTGTTTCCCCCTCCAGGTTATTATGAATATGCCTCTATGAACATGGTGTGCAAATATCTCTTCAAGATCTTGCTTTAAGATGGGTGCAGAGACTCACGACTGTAATCCCTGCACTTTGGGAGACTGAAGTGAGTGGATCACCTGAGATCAGGAGTTCAAGACCAGCCTGGCTAACATGGTCAAACCCCATCTCTACTGAAAATACAAAAAACTAACCAGGCCTGGTGCCGGACACTTGTAGTCCCACCTACTTGGGAAGCTGAGGCACAAGAATCGCTTGAACCCATGAGGTAGAAGTTGCAGTGAGCCGAGATGGCGCCACTGCTCCCCAGCCTTGGAGACAGGGTGAGACTCCATCTCAAAAAAGAAAAGAACCGGGCATGGTGGCTCACACCTGTAATCCCAGCACTTTGGGAGGCCGAGACGGGCGGATCACGAGGTCAGGAGATCGAGACCATCCAGGCTAACACGGTGAAACCCCGCCTCCACTAAAAATACAAAAAATTAGCCGGGTGTGGTGGTAGGCTCCTGTAGTCCCAGCTACTCAGGAGGCTGAGGCAGGAGAATAGCATGAACCTGTGAGGTGGAGCTTGTAGTGAGCTGAGATCGTGCCACTGCACTCCAGCCTGGGTGACAGAGCAAGACTCCGTCTCAAAAAAAAAAAAAAAAAAAGAAAAGAAAAAATACCCTGCTTTCAATTCTTTTGGGTAAATCTTCAGACATGAGATTGCTGGATCATAAGGTAGTTCTATTTTAATTTTTTGTTGTATTTGTTATTATTATTAATTTTGACTATTGGTAGAGACAAGGTCTCACCATGTTGCCTAGGCTGATCTCAAACTCCCGGCCTCAAGCAATCCTCCCACCTCAGCCTCCTCAAGTGCTGGGATTACAGGCATGAGCTACCGCACCAGATCCATATTTATTATTTTTGAAGACCCTTATTTCAGTGCTTACGTGTTTTGTCAGCCATCCAGTATCAATTCCCATTTCACAGCAGCAGCGCTGTAATTTGGGATATTACTTCTCCCTAGTGCAACGCAGTTTGTTGGGACTTTACACAGGTAGCTTTGCCTTCTAGCCAAGGAGGGTCCTTGACCCACCCAAGGCTAATCAACTTCCTTTCTTGTTCTGGAACTTTATACCTTGCCTAGATTCAGGCAACGACAAAAAAGAGTTGGAGCTTATTCATACAGTTCCAGTCTTGAAGAGTGGCAAGCAGTTCCCGCTTTCTAGATCCTGGGAGCTGTTATGGTCTCTCTTCTTTCCCCAAGCCTCGTCTCCAGGCTTCCTCTGAGCCACCCAGTGTCATTTTAGTAAATCCTCTTCTGATGTCATGAGCCCAGGTCTGCCTCTGTTGCTTACAATTTGAGAATCTTGGGTTGGGTCCACTTGTGCTGACTCACAGATTCCTTGACAGAATTGAAGTTTCATCTGCTTTACCTTTTTGTTTGTTTGTTTGTTTGTTTGTTTAAAGACAGAGTCTCACTCTGCCTCCCAGGCTGGAGTGCAGTGGGGCAATCTCGGCTCACTGCAACCTTGACCTTCTGGGCCCAAGTGATCCTCCCACCCCAGCCTCCTGAGTAGTTGGGACTGCAGGTGGGCACCACCAAGCCCAGTGAATTTTTTCATTTTTAGTGAAGATGGGGTCTCAGTATGTTATCCAGGCCAGTCCCAAACTCCTGGGCTCAAGTGATCCTCCTGCCTCAGCCTCCCAAAGTGCTGGAATCACAGGCGTGAGTCACCGTGCCCGGCCTGGTTTACCTTCTCTAGAATGTCCTCTCTGGTTTGGTCTGCTAATGGTCTTTCTAGCTTTAGTGCTACACTAATTTATTTTCATTTCTATATTCTTCTATTATCTGGACAGGATCTGAGGAGGGAGTAGAGTCACAAGCATTTGGTAAGTCTGCTTGAACTGTTTGTCACAAAATGCTTGCTGGTGATGATAGGGAGGAAAATAAATGTGAGCTAACACTTGTAGAAATGCCTTCCTTTCCCTTCTGCCAAACCGATTTCGCTCAGGACACATGCACTCCCTTTTAGACAGAGTCTGGCTCTGTCGCCCAGGCTGGAGTGCAGCGGTATGATCTCGGCTCACTGCAGCCTCCGCCTCCCGGGTTCAGGCGATTCTCATGCTTCAGCCTCCTGAGTAGCTTGGATTACAGGTGTGTGCCACCATATCAGGCTAATTTTTATATTTTTAGTGGAGATGGGGGTTTCGCTACGTTGGCCAGGCTGGTCTCGAACTCTTGACCTCAAGTGATCTACCCTCCTTGGCCTCCCAAAGTGCTTGGATTACAGGTGTGAGCCACCATGCCCAGCCACGTGCACATTTTTAGTATGACTTCTCTGATTACCAAAAAAATACATTTATACCTGACATCACCAATGGAGCACACTCATTGCAGTGTGCAGTATGAAAGTCACCAAAGGATTTGATTTCTTTGAAAGTGAATATTCTCTTGTCTGTGAGCTTTATAAAAATGGTATTATGTGAACTTCCAGATCCTGCATTCCTTTTTTTTGAGACACAGTCTCACTCTGTTGCCCAGGCTAGAGTGCAGTGGCGCAGTCTCAGCTCACTGCAAACTCCGCCCTCAAGTTCAAGTGATTCTCCTGCCTCAGCCTCCCAAGTAGCTGGGATTACAGGCACCTGCCACCGTGCCAGACTAATTTTTGTATTATTATTTGTCACTTTAAAATAAAACTTTAAAAACCCAACCCAGTAGAGATGGGGTTTCACCACATGTTGGTCAGGCTGGTCTCAAACTCCTTTCCTTGTGATCGGCCCACCTTGGCCTCCCAAAGTGCTAGGATTACAGATGTGAGAGATCCTGCATTCTTAAAAGTAGATCAACATTATGCTTTTAGGATTCATGTATGGTATTAACACAGAGCTGAAGTTTTTTTTTTGTTTTGCTGATGTACTATATGAGAGTACAATTACACTATTCTCACACTAATAACATGTGAGTAGTGTTTTGTGTTGACAGTTTGGCTGGAGGTGTGATTTTATTTATTTTATTATTTATTTATTTTTGAGACAGGGTCTCCGTCTGTTGCACAGGCTGGAGTGCAGTGGTGCAATCGTAGCTCATTGCAGCCTCAAACTCTGGGGCTCAAGCCATCCTCCCACCTCAGCCTCCTGAGTAGCTGGGACTATAGGCATGTGCCACCACACCTGGCTAAATTTTCGAGGTCTTGTCGTGTTGCCTAGGCTGGTCTTGAACTCCAGGGCTCAAGCGATCCACCTGCCTCGGTTTCCAAAAGTGCTGGGTTTACAGGTGTGAGCCACCGTGCCTGGCTGTTGCTGTGCTTTGGAACGTTTCTTTCGTATGTGTCAAATCTGATATTTAAAAGGTAACATTCTCTGTGGAATGATGGCACTTCACAACCTCTTAAGGAGAAATTAAAATAAACTCTTTATTAGACCCAATTCTTACCACAGATTCTATTTCAGTGTGGGTCAAGTTTTGTCCCTGACATAACTACCTATTTTTAACACCGAGGAGGAATACAACTTGCTATTCCTACACAGGCTGTTGCTGTGCGAGGACAGCCCTTTCCACCAGGACTTTGCAGTAATCTTGCCAGCAGCTGGCGCCCTCGCGCTACTTTAAAACACTGACCTCAGGCCCCAGGCCTGACTTCACAGCTACATCCCGCCTGCCCCTGGAAAGGCAGATTTTAAGTAGCAGAATGAAAGAAAAAGCCAATCAGTTGATTTGAAGGAAAACAACCCTCTATGCAGATAGCTTCAATTCATTTCTTCAGTATATTCAGTTGCTTTTTTAAAGTTTTATTTTAAACTGACAAATAATAATTATATATACTTAGGGGGTGCAATGCGATGTTTCAATACACGTAAATACTGTGGAATGAAGAAGTCAGGGTAATTAGCACATCCATCGCCTTAAATATTTATTTATTTATTATTATTATTTGAGATGGAGTCTTGTTCTTTCGCCCAGGATGGAGTGCAGTGGCGCGATCTCTGTTCACTGCAACCTCCACCTCCCAGGTTCAAGCAGTTCTCATGGCCTCAGTCTCCTGAGTAGCTGGGATTACAGTGCGTGCCATCACACCCAGCTAATTTTTGTACTTTTAGTAGAGACGAGGTTTCACCATGTTGGCCAGGCTGGTCTCGAACTCCTGACCTCAGGTGATCCACTTGCCTCAGCCTCCCAAAGTGCTAGGATTACAGGTGTGAGCCAACACGCCCAGCCTCAAATATTTATTATTTATTTGTGGTGAGAACATTTAAAACCCTCTGTTTTCACCATTTTGGAATATACAATATGTTATTATTAACTATAGTTAATAGTTGTACAACAGAACACCAGAGCTTATCCCTACTGTCTAATGGAAACTTTGTACCCATTGACAAACTTCTCCCCTCACCTCTCCTACTACTACTCAGGAGGCTGAGACAGGCGAATCGCTTGAACCCAGGGGGTGGAGATTGTAGTGAGCTGAGATTGCGCCACTGTGCTCCAGCCTGGGTGACAGAGCTAGACACCATCAAAAAAAAGAAAAAAAAAAGCCTAACAACATGAAAAGCAGATCTGGCTCTAATGCTTAGAGTGAAATATGGCCCCTGCTGCCTTTGAGAATGGTTTGGTTGGAAACGTTGACCGTGCAGAGATCTCTGCTCCCTGGATTAGAACAAGCCTGTGCTTGTTCATTACACAAGTATTCAGGATCTGCTTCTCCCAAGGGCATTTAAAACACATGAAGGTGGTGTTGCGTAAAAAGCAAGCTCTTGTGTTCAGCAAATATAACCGAGTGAGCAGAGACAGCGTCACTCACTCGCCGAGAGGGGAGCTGGACGTCCTGCTGTCTCCAGTGGAATACAAGCAATGGATATTGAGAAGGTCAACTCCATGGACTTTGGAGAATTTGTGGATGTGTTTGGGAATGTCATTGAAAGATGTCCTCTGATTGCAGCTGCTGTTTGGTCCCAGCGACCATTCTCTGATTTGGAAGATTTAAAGAAGCACTTTTTTGCCTTTATTGATGCCCTTCCACAGTCAGGTAAGGCTTCAGTATCAGACATTCTCTGCAAAGGAATTTCAAATATGCTTATTAAAATATTTTTAGATATTGGCCAGGCATGGTGGCTCACTCCCGTAATCCCAGCATTTTGGGAGGCTGAGATGGGAGGATCACTTGAGCCCAGGAATTTGAGACCAGTCTAGGCAACATGATGAGATCTGTCACTGCAAAAATTGTTTTTAGCCAGGCATGGTGGCTCACGCCTGTAATCCCAGCACTTTGGGAGGCCAAGGTGGGTGGATCACAAGGTCAGGAGATGGAGACCATCCTGGCCAATATGGTGAAACCCCATCTCTACCAAAATACAAAAAATTAGCCAGCGTCGGTGGCATGCACCTGTAGTCCCAGCTACTTGGGAGGCTGAGGCAGGGGAATCGCTTGAGCCCGGGAAGTGGAGGTTGCAGTAAGCCAAAATTTCGCCACTGCACTCCAGCCTGGCAACAGAGCAAGACTGTCTCAAAAAACAAAACAAAAAAACAAAAAAAAAAACCCACAAAAATTGTTTTAAAAAATCTATCTATTGGCGAGGCGCAGTGGTTCACGCCTGTAATCCCAGCACTTTGGGAGGCTGAGGCGGGCAGATCACGAGGTCAGGAGATGGAGACCATCCTGGTTAACACGGTGAAACCCCGTCTACTAAAATACAAAAAATTAGCCGGGTGTGGTGGCGGGTGCCTGTAGTCGCAGCTACTCGGGAGGCTGAGGCAGGAGAATGGCGTGAACCCGGGAGGCGGAGCTTGCAGTGAGCTGACATGGCGCCACTGCACTCCAGCCTGGGCGGCAGAGCGAGACTCCATCTCAAAAAAAAAAAAAAAAAAAAAAAAAAAAAAATCTCTCTCTCTTTCTATCTCTCTAGATATTTTAGTATAATTCCTTATACTTGATGTGTTTATTGAGCTCTTTCCTTTGGAAGGTTCAGTAAGTTTCCTCAGGTCTAGTCCGTGAGAGTAAAGCACTTGCGTGGTTTAGGTCAGACATGGACTGGAAGAACGCGTTGGCTAAGGTAAGTGGCTGTTAAATATTAGAGCTTTGAGGTGACAAGGAGGAACCTGGCAAAAGACATCAGAGTGATTCAGAGGCTAAAGTCCAGGCTGAGGGCCCACCCTCTCAGCCACCCCATCTGGCTTGGGAATGTCCTGTATGTGACAGAGAGGACAGCTGGATACAGACTATCTCCAGGGCCCAGGGGAAAGGGCAATCGGCTGACTTTTGTACCAGAAAGGGCCAGTTTGGCCTGGACGGCCGAGGAGAGTGAATTCATTCAGATCAGCGCCTCCCCGAGGGATGGAGGGAAGGAGGAGAATCTGAAGGCATCTCTCTGGAGAAAGGGAAAGAAGTTACTGATTTCTTCTGTGGAGAGAGAGAGAAAATGAGGCACTTCTGGGTGTGGGGTAAGGAGAAGAGGGGGTGACTCCAAATGACACACGCAGCTTCACAGAGACCAGGCTGCCTCAGGGGCTGTCCTGGATGCTCTGTGGAGAAACCTGAAATGTGCCAAAGGAGTGGCCAGGGGCAGAGAGGCCTCCGTGGATGTCTGGGTGGGGAAGGAGAGCCCCTGCTCTCTTCTCCCAAAGGAAGCCAACAGACACTGCTGCCTATCAGCATGGGCTTTGACAGCCAGATGGCTTCTGACTGTCCCAAAGACGTCTCCAAAATGAGGAGCTCCTTTTAATTCATTTGAGGCTCATCTAGGAAGAGCAGAGGATGTTGTAAAATCAAACGGACAGGAATGTCGGGACCATGTGGACACTCACCCTCTTCTGGGGGCCTCTCCACAGCTGAGGACTTCAGCTCTGCCACTGGGGGCCATCACTGGAGCCTTCTGACCCTTGACTCACAGGGACAGCCCAGTCCCCCAGCCTGATGAGTGAAGGGACCACAGCCTCCCAGCTGAACTCCTGCAGGGCAGGCTGGAAGGAGCAGGCAGCCCCGGAGCCCACCCTCCCAGTGTCTGACGGGAAGACAGAATAGAGGAGGCAAAATGACAGCCTCCCAGGAAAGTAATTTCTTTTCAAGAAAAAAAAAAAAGAGACAAATCCTTTGATTGTCTTAATACCCAAAGGAGTGGTGAGGCTGAGGAGGGAATGTGTTAAGAGAGAAAGCTAGGATTGCGTGAATAATTTAAATCTATTATTCTTGGGTTTGGCTAGTTATTTAACACACATTTTGGGGGCTTTATTACTCTGTGTCCAGAACTTTGATAAAAACATAAAAATTTCTCCATTTTCATCTTATTTCTCACCAACACTCCCCACAACCCGTCTGGCCAGAGATTCTAGCTACGGGTCAATCCAGTCAGGGCCCTGAGCACAGTGGTGTGTGGACAGCACTGAACGTGGGCTACCCCACTCCCGAGGCTTGTTTTGATGCCCCCGTGACTTGATGAAACCTCTGTCTCCTGGCTAGTGTCAGAATCCCAGATCACAGACTGAACCGGATATTGGGACTTAATCAAGGTTTGCTGAATGAATGCATGACATTTCCAAGGTGATGTTGAAAAATGGGGATTCTGGCATTCCCCTCTTCCCCACACATTTTAACTGGGTGACTTTAGTGGTAGGTCAGTGGACAAAATGGCTGGAGGGGGTTTGGGCCCCCTGGACGGTTGTTGGCGTCTGCAGTAGACACGGTTCTGAGGAGGAGCTCCCTGTGGTGAAGGCTGCCTCTCAGTTCTGCACTTGTCTGGGGCAGCTGGGGGCCTCAATGCTGTCTGGCGGCAACTCCTCATCTTAACATCTCAGTGACAGTAGATAAGTGATGTTATCAATAGTGACAATAACAACAACAAATAGCTAAAATGTATTGAACTTTTACTCCTGGTGTGTTTCAGGCACTTTTCCGAAAACTTTGCACTTGCTGACTCATTTAATCCTCTAATGTCCCTATAAAATAAGGAATAGTATTATTATTGCCCCCAGTTTTACCGAAGGGAAGACTGAGGCACACAGAGATTAAGTAACTTGAGCAAGGACACACTACTAGAAAGTGGCAGGACTGGAATTCTAATAACCCTGAGGGTCAACCCAACAGCTTGTGAAGAAAGTGGCAGAACTGGGAGTCAACCCAACAAGTTTTGAAGGCTTTTTCCAGACAATGAGAAACAAAGTCTAGAAACAGTTTTTAGGGTTTTCATTCATTTATCCACTAATGTATTTGATTAACATAAATGCTTGATGTTCTAGGCCCCATGTTTTATTGTTTAAATAATCAAATAAAATGATCTATTTCACAGCATGGTGACTATAGTCAATAATAATCTTTTTATACTTGGAAATTGCCAAGAGAGTAGGCTTTAAAAAAAATTTTTTTTTTAATTGAGGCAGAGTCTCACTCTGTCACCCAGGCTAGAGTGCAGTGGCACCATCTTGGCTCACTGTATCCTCACCCTCCCGGGTTCAAGCGATTCTCCCGCCTTAGCCTCCCTAGTAGGTGGGATTACAGGCACCCGCCACCATGCCAAGCTAACTTTTCTATTTTTAGTAGAGATAGGGTTTCATCATGTTGGCCAGGCTGGTCTCAAATTCCTGACCTCAAGTGATCTACCCACCTTGGCCTCCCAAAGTGCTGGGGTTACAGATGTGAGCCACCTTGCCCCACCTTCAAGAGAGTAGATTTTAAATGTTCTTACTACCAAAAAATGATAAATATGTGAGGCGATAGATATATTAGAAAGCTTGACTTCATCATTTCACAATGTATACATATATGGAAAACATCAAATTGCACACCATAAATACATATAATTTTTATTTATCAAAAAAATCCAATAAAATGGGTTTTTTGTTTGTTTGTTCATTTGTTTTTTTGAGAAGGAGTCTCGCTCTGTCATCCACGCTTCAGTGCAGTGGCACAATCTCAGCTCACTACAACCTCTGCCTCTCGGGTTCAAGCGATTCTCCTGCCTCAGCCTCCCTAGTAGCTGGGACTACAGGCACACACCACCAGGCCCGGCTAATTTTTGTATTTTTACTAGAGATGGGGTTTCACCTTGTTAGCCAGGATGGTCTCAATCTCCTGACCTTGTGATCCACCCACCTCAGGCTCCCAAAGTGCTGGGATTACAGGCGTGAGCCACCACACCCAGCCTTAAAATGGGATTTATTACAGTCTAGCTTTACCCTTTGGATAGTAAGAAACAAACTGGGTGAAATAGATTCTTTGAATCCTAAAACTAAGGTACCTTAGAGAGACGTTCAAGTTACAGTGGTCTACCTAGTCATGTATTTGTTTTGGTGACTGAAGAAAAACCTCCACCATTAACAGAAAACAAAATTGGGTTTCTAGACTAAGGTTGAGTCCATTTAGGTTCTGCTATGATGATTATTGGCCAGTAGGTGGCAGTCCAGGATTAATATTGAGCTCTAGTGCTATTGGGCAAAGTACCTTCTCCAGCCACTCAGTTCCTATAGATTAAAGATGAGGCAAAGGTTTTCCAGGAAAGAGAACTGACAACTAGTAAAGGGAAGAAAGTTGAAACACACATGCACTAACCTGAACAAATTCAGGACGGATTTGTGTTATAAAATTAAAGAGCAATACAACTTTCATAAGAGTTAATTAACTGTGCATTTCCGCTGGCTATGGTGACTCACACCTGTAATCCCAGCACTTTGGGAGTCTGAGGTTGGAGGATCGCTTGAGACCAGAAGGTTGAGGCCACAGTGAGCCATGATTGCACCACTGCACACCAGCCTGGATGATAGAGCAAGAACCCTGTCTCAAAAGAAAAAAAAAAATGTACATCTCTGTGCCTTTCAGAATTATAGTAATGCCACAATTTATTACTTTATGCTTATTAAACAACATTTTTGTGGAATGAATGGTGTTGGATACTAATAAGTTCCTTATAATACAGGCTATGAAGGTTTTAGATCAAGCTATTAAAATATGTTTGTTTATTCAGTCAAAAAAAAAAAAAAACACTCCTTACCAAAAGTGCTGTGTTGGTCAAAAAGTACTCATTGAGTGCCCACTGTGCCCCAGGGATTGTCGTGGGCACTGGGAATAGAGTAGTGACCAAGACAAGTCCTTGCCTTAAATGAGCTTACATTCTAGTGAAGAGAGACAGAATTAACATGAAAAATACCATTATTTCAGGTTCTAGAAATTCTCAGAAAAAATATACGCAATATGGCAGAAAATATGTAATAACGGAGGTCTTTCTTAGGAGGTTAAAATTTAAGACCGAACGATGAGAAATAAGTAAATGAAATCTAGGATGAGGTCAATCTTAGAAAAGGAACGTAAAAGGGTGCGGTGGCTCATGCCTGTAATCCCAGCACTTTGGGAGGATGAGGCAGGTGGATCACTTGAGGTCAGGAGTTTGAGACCAGCCTGGCCAACATGGTGAAACCCAATCTCTACTAAAAATACAAAATTAGCTGGGCGTGGTAGCGCACACCTGTAATCCTAGCTACTCTGGAGACTGAGTCAGGAGAATCACTTGAACCTGGAAGATGGAGGTTGCAGTGAACCGAGATCACACCACTGCACTCCAGCCTGGGTGACAGGATGAGAGTCGGGCTCAAAAACAAAAAAAGGCAAAGGAACCTGAGACCAGGATGAACTTGACATTTTTGGGGCACAGAAAGATCAAGGTAGTTGGAAAATAGTAAGGAGTGGAAGGATGTGAGGAAGAGGCAGCAAGGGCCCGATCATGTAAAGCTGCTTAGGTCTAATAAGGAACTTGCTTCTCCATTTGCAGTGGGTCACTGGGGTTTATGCTTTAGGATGGTGATGTGGGGGCTATGTCAGATGCAGGGGGCCAGGTCGAGGGGCCGCTGCAGTAGTAAGAGTAAGAGATGAGGTTGCTTGGACTGGGGTTGGAGCAGCAGAGACGGAGAGATGCAACTGGATTCTCAGAATAGGGCTTACAGTTAGAGTCAACAGGATTTTTAAAAAAATGGATTTGATGGCGGAAGGCAGATCAGAAACAAAACTGAATGGTCACTCCTGTTTTCAGTCTGAGCCACTGGGTGGCTTGTGGTGCCATTTTCTGAGTGGAGGAAGACTTAAAGTTGAGAAGACAGGATGGAGGAAAGAGCTTGCTGAGTCTGAGGTACCCAAAAATCATCCAGATGAAAATGCTGACTGCTCAGTTGCATCAAAACAGAGAAGCTTGGTGAAACACTGAGAGTTAAACTATATCTGGCTGTCATCAAAGAATGGATGACATTTCAAACCATAGGACTGGTTGAGGGCACTTAGCAAGTACATTGGTGTAAATAGCGAAGGGACGAGATGTGGGTACTGAGTCCTGTGGTACTTCTGTGCTAGTGAACTCTTTGGCAGAGCAAGATGAAAGTAGGCAAAGGGTGTCTCTGAAGGTAAGTGGTAGTCATTTTTTTTTGAGACAGAATCTTGCTCTGTCACCCAGGTTGGAGTGCAGTGGCGTGATCTCGGCTCACTGTAACCTCCGCCTCCCAGGTTCAAGCAGTTTTCCTGCCTTGAGTAGCTGGGATTATAGGCGCGTGCAACTGCACACAGCTAATTTTTGTATTTGCAGCAGAGACGAGGTTTCACCATGTTGGGCAGGCTGGTCTCAAACTCCTGACCTCATGATCCACCTGCCTCGGCCTCCCAAAGTGCTGGGATGCCAGGTGTGAGCCACTGCACCCGGCCATTTATGGTCATTTTTTAAGGAGAGAGGGCCAACCAGGTGACATGGTCTGGAGAGGCTGAGAAAGAAGAGGTCAGGCATTGGTCTTTGGGCTCAGGCAAGATGTCCTTAATGAGTACAGATCAGCTGGTACAGCGGCTCGAAGCTTGACAGCGTGAGTCTGGAAATGGAGGTGAGGAAGTGGAGAGGCCAGGAGATAACTCCTTTAAGGTCTTTTCTGTAAGGAGGAGCAGAGAAATAGGGAGAAACAAGAGGGAAACAGGGAATCAAGAGAGAATGTTAATATTGTTTATGGGATGGGTGATTCTAAGGCATGTTTGCACATTGATAAGGGTAAGCAGTGTGGGAATGCAGAAATAGGTATTTGAAATTGCAGAAGCAAAGTCTTTGACAAGAAAGGAGAGCCAGCTTCAAGAACACAAATGGAGGGGCTGGCCTTCCATAGGAAGAACAGATTGTCCATTGTACCAGGGATAAGAACATACCCAGACACCACTGGGTGTGGACCAGGAGGCAGTTGAACTGTTATGGGATTCTGGGCTTCCATGGCCACAGTTGCTTACCCTGTTCCTCTCCATTGAATAATGAGTGTCTGCTCTGTGCTAGGAATTATTCTAGGTGCAAAATTTCAGGTCCTGTGGTCCCAGCAAATAACACACATTCACACCTACATCTATAGACGTGACACGCCAATGGCTTAGGAGGTAAGCCCAGAATTTCAAGAAAGACTGAAGAATGGGCAACACTTAGATTCCCTGTGAACCATGGGCTGTCTGACCGGCCTGGCCAGCGCCTGGGCTTCCAGGTGGGAGACACTGAGGACTGGAGGCAGGGAGATGGCACCTACTCTCCCAGTCTCCAGTCTCCCACTGGGGCTCATGGGCACAGCTTAGGGATAGCATGCTGGCACTGGCAGGGAACTGGGTCCTTGCTGCAGGGCAGTGGGCACAGTAGGCACCATTCCCGATGTACTTACTCAAGGGTCCAGTCGTTTGGGGCAATGAAGATGGGATATCTGGCCAGGTGAGGTAGGCTGTGTTTCTTCTGAGCTACCATCCTCTACCTGATTCCTCACACCTTTTTCTTGTTAGGCGCAGCTGAACGACAGAGAAAGAGAGAGAGACAGAGAGAGAGAGAGAGAGAGAGAGAGAGAGAGAGAGAGAGAGAGACGGCTGAGAGACAGAGTAAATTCCAGTTTCTCCTTTTTAGTCTCTTTTCTTCTGCCCTTTGCTCTGTTAGTTTATCTGTGTCTTTTCTCTTCTCGCCGCTGCAAGTGTGGAAAACTCATACTCAGTTCTAGGCAAACATTAACCCCGGGGGGCCTTTCCAAGCGGGAGACAAACTCTAGACAGTGAGAAGCGAGATGCGAGGGCACCAAGGGCAAGAAGGGGTCCAGGCGTGCGCACGGTTGGCGGGACGCCGCCGCCTCCCTCTGCTGCGCGGCCTGCGCGGGGAGCCTGGTGGGGGCGGCAAGAGGACAGACCCCGTGCCCAGGCCTCTCACCAGCAACCACCTCCCCCGGCCTCCCTCCAGTGACCACCTCTCTTGCAGCTTGGGGAGGATGGAAGTCCCCTGACTGGACGGGGGACCTAGCGGCTGCTCTGAAACTCTGAACACTTGAGGAGCAGGCGCGGAAGGTCCAGCCGCCCAAGACTCGCATCGTTCCCTCCTCCGCAGCCCAGGCAGGTTGCGGTCCTGGGCCTGGTTGAGCGCGGAGGGGATCCGGGCGGGAGCTGAGCTCGGTTCCCCAGGCCGGGCAAGTGGACGCGTGGCACGACCAACCCCGGGCCCAGGGCTGGGGCTGCTCCCCCAGGTGGGGAATTTAACTCTCATATTTTCGCACTACCCGGACGGGGCTGGACGCGGGAAGCGGGAAAGACCCGTCCCTGTTTGCAGTGCCCGAGGGGCAGGACACCCACGAGAAGGGCTCTACCACAGTGCTGTTAGGCCGGCTCGGTGGCTCACACCTGTAATTCCAGCACTTTAGGAGGCCGAGTCGGGAGGATCGCTTGAACCCGGGAGGCAGAGGTTGCAGTGAGCCGAGATCGCCCCACTTCACTCCATCCTGGGTGATAGAGCTGTCTTGAAAACACACACACACACACACACACACACACACAAACAGTGGTGTTACAGGGATGGGATTATTGGTGACATGACTTTCGTTTTGAACTTTCCTTAACCTTGCAGGGGCAGCCGTGCCCTGAAAACGCCTGTGATTGGGAGTAGAGGGTCCAGGTGCAGTGCGGTGAGTGACCCTAGGCAGGTCACTAGTTCTTTTTGAGCCTTCACTGAATCATCCCTTACATGGGGATGTTACCCCCGGTTCTCCGTGTCTTTCAGGGAGAAATTAGTTCCTGAGTTAAATGGTGCAGTATCAATCATCTTTTTATTACACAGAAACAATAAGTTTAAGAAAGAGGACGTCTACCTTACAGGGGGTTTAATTTTCAGCTCCTTTGAGATAAAATTCATTGAATGGTGTTTTACATGCGCGCCTTTTCCAACAGATCCCACGTCTATTCCCGGCGCCGGAGCCGGACAACCGCTTTACTGGGATCCAGAGACAGGTACTTCCTGAGGCGCCTCAGTCCAGTTCCACTGGGTTTACTACGACTAATAATGACTGCTTCTGTTTAATAGGTATTAGGCAATGTGTTTTAAGTGAATGAATTGTCTCTAATCCTCACAACTTTTCAGCAAGTTAGGCGTCACCCGCATTTTACAAATCGTGGCGCCCTGCTCACCATATCTGGAATCTTGCCTCGCCCCGAGGATTCTGATTTTCACTTTAGAGCGCTGAGCAAGATGATTGCCCAGCGCTAACTCCGGGAAATCCCTGGGACTGAAAATCGCAGGTAACTCGCCAGAGTTTTTCAATTTTAGGCCTAGGAGATTATGCAAAGCTTTCCTTCAAGTAAACGCTGTTCTCTGGGGCCTCTGGAATCTACTGTCGGAGAAGGGGAATAAGCCCCGGGCCGGTGGGGGATGGGTGGGTGCAATTTCCTAAATAGAGGAAAGCCACTTTCATTCAAAGGGCTGTGGAACTCTGGCTAGAGGTGGGTTTCTTTGCAGTTAATCATCTGCAAGGCTCTTTGGATGCCTGATTCCAGAAACCCAGAACTCACACGTAGGGTCACAAAATCCAGGGCTTTTATTTGCCGAGCCCCGTGGATGTTGTCCCTATGGATGCACCCCGCCCCTGTCCGTTCTCCTTTGGAGCAGAACGAAACCCATTCCAGAGCTTTTGCAGGAAGTCTTCAGGCCTTTGCGTCCGGCCCCTTTAGACATCAAAGCCCCCCCTGAGAGCAAAGGACTTTGAAAGATAGGAAAAACTCAGGCTCCTTATCGCGTCTCTGCTCCCTCCCGACCTAGTCGTAAATTCCGAGCCTCAGCGGCCGCCCTCTCTCTCCTCCGCTCTTCTTGACCCAAGGTCTCAAAAGACAAACGTGTCACTTCCCGCCCCGCCCCTGGATCCTGGTCCCGACCGAATGTGGTGAGGACCGAGAAGCGCAAGGTCCAGGACTTGTTAGAGGGGCGCGCCAAGGACGTCCCTGCGCCGCCAGGACATCACTGCCTGGGGACTCTACTTCACCCTCCCGCAGCCTTCTTTGGGGCGGGGCGGGGCAGGGGGGCCGGGCTCGGCCTACGCGCCCCTTCGAGTGCGCGGTGCGGAGCGGGCGCGGTGACGCGCTCCCGCCTGTGTCTGTGCTTCTCCGCAGGCCAGGAGGGCATCCTGCGCTGCCACCCGGACCTGGCGGGCAGCGAGCTGCGGCGGGGCACGCTCACGGCCGAGTCGCAGCGGGAACAGAGCGCCGCGGGCCTGACGAGCCTGGGCGCGGACGAGCGGCTCCGGCTGGCGGAGCTCAATGCGCAGTACCGCGCGCGCTTCGGCTTCCCCTTCGTGCTGGCCGCGCGCTTCAGCGACCGGGCGGCGGTGTCGCGTGAGCTGGCGCGCCGTCTGCTCTGCCCGTCCGCGCAGGAGCTGCGCACCGCTCTGGGCGAGGTGAAGAAGATCGGCAGCCTGCGCCTGGCCGACCTCCTCCGCGCCGACCCCGCCAAGCCGTAGCTGCCGCGCGGGCCAGGGACCAGGGAGGCACAACCGGACGCGTGGGGGCCACGGCCTGGAGCTGTGCGTCCTGGGCGGGAGGCGGACTCGGGCCTGGAACAGCGTTCATACACGTGCACAAAGGAAGTGGAGAATTGAGGCAATCATACGAGTAATGAGTCCTTTTGTCCACCCACCCACACGCGCACGCGTTGCCGAAATATCCATATTGTTTAGTGCTTTGCCCCGGATTTATCCAGCTCACTGCTTCAATTCTTCACTCCCTTTGCGGCCCCCGACACCACCGGCCTTTGTGGATTCCAAAGCGTTTATCCAGTTCTCCCCAACCCTCTCCTGCTAAGCCCGAACTGCAAAGCAAAACGGACGGAAAAGGAATCTTTTATGCCACAGCGGTTTGTCTGTTTGTTTTCTCTTTTCCCACTTCATTTGCTGCACCCGACCTTTACATGTGAGCGGAAGCGGTGTTCTCGCTCTTGGGCACTAGGGGAGCAGACTGGGAGCCAGGAAAGTCAAACGCTGGCCTCGGTCCGGCGTGGGGAGCCGGGGAAGCCGCGGGAGGGAGGCGGTGGGCCGGGGAGAGCCCTCCGAAGGGCTGGCGTTGGGAAGGCGCCCCGTGGGGACGGACGGAATAGCTGCAGCCATCGCTCCTAAAAGGCGGGGGGCCAGGGGGCGTCCCTGCTGGACGGGCCTGAAGATCTCTCCCGGAGGTCGGCCTTTGGGAGTTGGCTCGACTGCCCCGGGAAACCCATCAATTATTAAAAGAATAACACTCATTGAGCAGCGCTGGGTATTTGGACCCCAGAATGAAGCGAGATTGCAGTGTCCATTAAACGGAGGGAAGTGCCCCTAGAAATCTTTGCTTGTCACCCCTGGAGTTTCAGACCCGTATTAGGCTGGGCAGCCTCCTGCACTAGCAGCCAGACTGTCCACTGGGGGAAAGTACATTAGCATCCTGCGGAGGAGCCCACCACATTCTACCCCCCGCCCACACTCCCACCACCCCCCCCACACGGAAGGTGTAAAGAGCCCCAACAAATACTACTTAGGCTTCTGTTGGCAGAGGAGAAACGAAACACCCATGGTCTCCCCAACAAAGACAAGGTAACAGGCGAAGGCCAGAGGTGGCCCTTTTGAAGACAAGAGCTTCCATTAGTCACCAACGGTGTCCAGGGTTAGCAGCAGCAGCAGCAACAACAACAACAGCAGCAAGGAAACCTTTCCATAAAGAGCTGCGTGGCTGCACCCTTGGTTCTGGGGCTGATTTTCCATAGAAATAAATCATGCCTGGAGCACTAGGAATTTTAGGCAAGGAAGCTCTTTTCCCGTTTCCATCTCACAGTGTTTCCTGCTGTGGTAAGGCTGAAGAAAAGAGAAGCTGGTAGTGGGGCAGGTGCCAGGAAAGCGGGCTGTGCTACCAGCGTCCCGGGGCTTGTAGCTAGACACCGTCTCTGGGTGTAGGAGAACCGGGTGCACACCATGAAGAAATTTCCATGGCTCGCTCCTATTTTTTGGGACCCTGCAGCAATGGTGGGGTCCTAGGCCTGGGCCAGACACCTGCCTCTCTCTAGCCAGGGTAACCTGGGGATTTCCTGACATACACATTAACTTGCTGCTTGATGAAGAGGATTTTCTGACCCAGGATCCAAATACCACAGGCGGGGCCTAAGACTCAGAATAACCCACTGTAGTCAGGCACCCTGTCCCAAGGCTGGGGGTAAACCCCAAGCTTAGATAAACGAGGCCCCAAATGCAGAGTCTGTGTTCTTTATGTAAAGGAGCTCATGTGAGATGCACAGATCCCACCAGGGCTGGGTTCCCCGCATGAGCGTAGATGAGCTCAGAACCTCCCAGAGACGACCCTGTTGTCTCCAATTACACAGTTACATTTCAACAGTTCAAAGCTTGTCCGGAAAATGGTTTATTCCTGCGGGAAGCGATGCAGATGGGGGCAGATGCTGAGTCTGTCCCTTTAGAAGGTGCTGGAGCTGCGCGGCGCCTCTTCCGAAACACCTGAGCATAAGCAGCCGCGAAGGCTAGCGCAGGACACGGGGTGTGGGCGCCCGGCTGGGAAGAGCCCGGACCAAACCCGCGGGTGGCTCTGACTCTCGCCTTCGGGAGGAGCTCTGCGCAGAGGCCGTGGCTCGCGTGGGCAAATCACCTGTGGCGGCCTGGCAGGGCAGTTCTCTCCGGCAGCTTGCTCTTGGCTCAAATAACGATATGCTCTGGGTTTCTCTCTGCCTTGGCCTGGCAGAGCCACTTTCCGCTTTCTGGCCTCTTGTGCGCCCGAGGCGGGAGAGGAGCCCCGGCCGCGTGGACCCCAGCTTGTACAGCAATCATCGCACATTGACTCTAGGCCCTGCTGCTCAGGGAAGGGACAGCCCGGGGCGCACCCAGCGAGCTTCAGGGGGTACGGAAGTGCTTAGGGCAGATTTCAGGGTGAACAACTAATATTTTACTTACTAATTCGTTAAAAACGCAAAGAAAACAAAACCAATCACGGTGGTAAGGCCAAGAAGAGTTGGAAAGCAAGGAGCTGATTTCAATTTCTATAAATCGACGACCCTCCAGGCACAGTCCCTTACGAAGTGGGGGCGGCTTTGCGGATTTTCACTTCCCTTGGAAATGTCCAAGCCCCGGCAGGAGAACGCTCCCAGTAAAGGGACGGAAGAACGCAACTCCGGATAAGAACTCAGGAACCGACCTGGGCTTGTCACTCACCTGTGTAACTTAACTGGAATACGTAATGGGGCCTCCTCTTTATTAATCCAGAAAGGTAGGCATTTTGGTCTGTGAGCCCAAAAGATGTCTACGGACACTAAAATTGGAAGGAAGGAAAGGGAAAAGGGCAACATAAATTCTATACATAATCTTTACCCATTTTAAATATGACACATTTCTAGAGATTAGCCACAGGATATCAGTTCTGACTCAAAAACAGAGAGGAGTTCTTCTTCTTCTTCTTCCTCTTCCTCTTCTTATTTTGAGACGGAATCTCACCCTGTTGCCCAGGCTGGAGTGCAATGGTGAGATCTCAGCTCACTGCCAACTCCGCCTCCTGGCTACAAGTGATTCTCCTGCCTCAGCCTCCCAAGTAGCTGGAATTACAGGCGTGCACCTCCACTCCCAGCTAATTTTTGTATTTTTAGTAGAGACGGGGTTTCACCGTGTTGGCCAGGCTGGTCTCAAACTCCTGACCTCGTGATCCACCCACCTCAGCCTCCCAAAGTGCTGGGATTACAGGCGTGAGCCACGGTGCCCGGCCCAAGAGGAGTTCTTCTAAGGAAGTATTTACTGTGAGACAAAAGTAGATGGATACCATCTTTGTCAACTGGAGAAAAATCTGGGATGGAATTTATGGAAAATTCATGCAATAAATGAATAAACCACAGTTGTGCGGTGCCTGTGAAAGACATAGGGCATGGAGCGTGGTCAGAACTGTAGCAATAGCAGAACCTGATTGTTCTGGTACTATTTGGTGTGGGGGGTGGGATTGGGAAAATGGGAATCTCTAACTCGTGCTAGTTGGTTTTGCAGTTGGGGTGCAATGTTTCTAGGTGGCACCAGCAGCTGTAGTAATAATAAACATCTATGCAGATCACTATGGATTGCAAAGAACACACATACTGTAGCTCATTTACTTTAAGGGACTTGAACAGCTAGCTGTGCAACTTTGGGAAAATCATCTAACCTCTCTGGGCCTTGGGTTCACCTTTGTAAAATGGAAAGGTTAAACAGACTTTAAGACCCCTGGCTCCCCTCCAGGGAATGCAGCCAGCCAATGGGCCCAGTAACTCAAGAAGAGCAGAGCCTTATTTAAGCTCCTTCCCTTAGCCACATAAAACTTACCCTGTAGGACTTCCTAGGAACATATTTTCATGTGGCAAACAAAGGTCATTCCAGGCACGAGACAATGGTGAGTGAACAAATGTTCATTGAAAGCTCTCCACTCTAAAGCCACGTGGTAACCGTTGGCTGGTGCTGCCTGAGAAGCCTGGGCTCCTAGCATCAAGAAGTTTCCTTTGGGTTGGAAGTCCTGGTTCCCAGTAGGGACACCAATCTTTGAGACCTCCAAGTCCCTCCCTCTTGTGGATTTAAATCATCCTCTGTCCTCACCCACCACACAGAATGTGTTATTCAATGCCCAAACAGTGTCCACAGGCCCTAGTTTCAGAAGAAAGGAAGAAAATGGGCAACGACTATTTATTTGCCTAACTTTTACCCAATGTACCAAACCAGATTTCTGTACCCAAATATTACCCTTTCTCCTGAGGCTCTTAATTTTCCTTGATCTCTTGGATGTGAGAATATATTTTGGATAGAGAAGCATAAATTAAAAAAAAAGAAAAAAAAAAAGGTGTTCCTTGCCTTGGATCAGAAACTTGGTGGTCTGTTCACAACAAACGTAAAACAGCTGGCTTTTCTCATCGCATTCTCCTGCAGCCTAGTACCTGAGTGGTAACATGTTAGCCCACATGACCTCCCATTAATTCAGAAACCTTTCCTCAGGTAGAGAGGGTCAGACACCCAGTTTGCTTGGGAAGAAAACATGCTTCACTCCACTGGGCAAGGACACATCTGCTGCTGTGAATGAAGCCTGGGTGGCTGTGGGCAGCTGTGGTCCCTCCCTGCTGTTCAGGGTGGACATGTTGGGATCCATTGTGGCCTGATAGGGCTGGACAGTTGGCGGACTCTGGGGAGGCCCTACAGAAAGGACATTGTCATTGATTTCCTTCCCAGAGATGTTAGCTGAGTGGGCTGTGGCAGGGCAAGACAGGGTTGTTGGGGTCAAACGAACCATTACTGAGCCTTTCTTTGTGTGAGTAGATGGCTGATTGAGTGCAATGGCTGAAAGACTCCCTAAACTCCGAATTGAGTAGAGATTGAGCTGTTTTTCCACAGCCGTATAGATGGCCAAGCTGAATAATTTTGTCAGCTGACATTCTCTTCCTTTTCACTCCTTAATTATCCCTGGAATTCAGGTCAATGCAAGGTAAGAGTTTCCTGTGCAAGGTATAGAATACTACATTATTTGGATAATTTTATTGTCCTTTTTTCAAATTAAAAAAAAATTTTTAGAGACAGGGTCTCCCTCTGTCACCCAGGCTACAGTGCAGTGGCGCAACCATAACTCACTGTAACCTCGAACTCCTGGGCTCAAGCCATCCTCCAACCTCAGCCTCCCAAGAAGCTGAGGCTATAGGTGCACATCACCACACCCAGCTAATTTTTAAATTTTTTTTATAGAGATAAGGTCTCGCTTTCCTGGGCTCAAGTGATCCTCCTGCCTCAGCCTCCTAAAGTGCTGGGATTACAGGTGTGAGCCCCTGTGCCTGGCTGGACAGTTTTCTTGATCTAAAAGAGATTCAGAAAATCAACTTACATGCTCAGG